AAAAGAAGGAAGGAAGAAAGAAAGGAAGGAGGAAGGAAGGAAGGAAAGGAAAAAGGGAAAGGGAGAAAAGGGAAGAAAGAAAGGAAAGAAGGAAAGGAAAGAAGAATGAAGGAAGGAAGGAAAGAAGGAAAGAAAGAAATACAGAGAAAAAAAGGCGTCAAAAGAAGAAGAAGAAAAAAAAAAAAAAAATCCAGACGCTTTCTTCCCAACTTCATCTCGCAGCGATAGGATCCGCGGGCGTGGGAAGGGCGTGCGAATGTCCTGTTGTGGGCGCGCGGGCGGAATCCAGAGAGTGAAGGATTTGAAGGATTACAGGATTCCTTTCGCGGGATATGTAGAGGAATCTGAGGCGTGATGCAGGAGGCGGAGGAAGGATGCTGGGAGAGAGAGAAGAGAGAGAGAGAGAGGGAGAGAGAGAGAGGAGAGGGAGAGGGAAGAGGGAGTGGGAAGAGGAGGGAGAGAGAGAGGGAGTGGGAGAGGGGGAGGAGGGAGAGGGAGGGAGGGAGAGAAGGGAGGGAGAGGGAGGGAAGAGGAGGGAGGGAGAGAGAGAGAGAGAGAGAGAGAGAGAGAGAGAGAGAGAGAGAGAGAGAGAGAGAGAGAGAGAGAGAGAGAGAGGAGAGAGAGAGGCAGGGAGAGAAGGGAGGGGAGGGAGGGAGGAAGGCGGGAAGGATGCTGGGCAGAGAGAGAGAGAGATTGAGAGAGAGGGAGAGAGAGACGAGGGCCCGAGGAGGGAGAGAGAGGGAGAGAGGGAGTGAGAGGGAGGGAGGGAGGGAGGGAGAGAGAGGGAGAGAGAAGAGAGAAGAGAGTGAGGTGAGGGAGGGAGGGAGGGAGGGAGGGAGAGAGAGGGAGGGAGGGAGATGAGAGAGATATGACGCGGACACGCAGCAGAGAGAGAGAAGGAGAGAGAGAGCTATGGACGAGGAAGGAAAACGCACGCGCCACGCAGTAAAGGGAGAGAGAGAAGAGAGAAGTGTATGTTGTAGAGTGTATCGGATATCGGCGCGCGTGAGATATAGCGCCTTTATCGGCGCTGACGTATGTTGTCGCATCTATGCAGAGGGAGCGGAGAGAGAGAGAAGCCGAGAGAGAGAGAGAGACGAGAGAGAGGCAGAGAGGAGAGAGAGAGAGAGAGAGAGAGAGAGGGAGGCGAGAGAGGGGAGGAAGGGAGGGAGAAGAGAGAGAGAGAGTAGAGAGGAGAAAGAGAGAGACGAGAGAGAGGAGAGAGAGAGGAGAGAGGAGAGAGAGAAGAGAGAGAGAGAGCAGAGAGAGAGAGAGAGAGAGAGAGAAGAGAGAGAGAGAGAGCAGGGGGAGGAGGAAAAAAGATGAGAACAAGATTTCTCTTTGAAAGTTTTAAGTTTTTTAATATATTTTTTAGCCTTTTTATCTAATAATATTCATTTTCTCTTTTTTTTTAAGATTTTTACAACAAAAAAATAGATGTCTTTCTTTTACTGAGCTATGCAAAAAAGAGAATCTAATACTGTTTTACTATTTGTGCAACTAAGGATGAAAAACAAAACCAAAACGACAAACGACAATAACGGCTGTACTTATTTATATCTATAAATTGCACCTAAATAGAGAATATTTCTACCAGCAATTTCATCCATTTTCCTGCATAAATATATGTAAAAATATTCATTCTAATTATCACGCAAAAATAGATATTTTTTCCATCCATCACTTTCATTTGTGTTTGTATGAATTTATTCATATATTGATAACAAACAGAAAAATGTTAAAGATTGAGTTTAGAAACAAGATCATCCAAAAGGAGGGTCAGTAAGGAAAATTATGAAATTATATTGAGGATCGGAGAGAGAGATGGCGCCATTGCAGACGTGTTTTAAGTCTATTGGATAAGAGATAGAATAGATAGATAGGGAGAAAGAGACAGGGAGGGAAGAGGGGAGGGGAGGGGTGGGGGAAGGGGAAGGGAAGGGGGAAAAGGGGAACAGGGGAGAGGGGAGAGGAGAGGGAGAAGGGAGAGGGAGTAAAGGGAGAGGGAAGAGGGAGAGGGAGGAGGGAGAGGGAGCAGGGAGAGAGGAGGGAAGAGAGAGAGGGAGAGGCGAGAGGAGAGGAAGAGTGGAGAGGGAGAGGGAGAGAGGAGAGGGAGAGAGAGGGAGAGGGAGGAAGAAGAGAGAGTAGAGAGAGAGAGAGAGAGAAGNTTTTGTATTTAAGTGTATATGAGTTATGTGGGAGAAGAAGAGATATTTGTAGTATTAAATATGAAATAATATTCACGTATAAAGAAGTAGTATAAAAAATCGGAAGAGAAAAGCGATATATCAAATACAGAGTTATGTTTTATATCTATATATGAAGAGCATGAAATTGAAGTGAATTTAGTGAAATGAAAGAATAGTATTGTTATGTTTTTATATCTATATATGAAAGAGCATGAAATTGGTGATTTTAGTGAAATAGCACTCAAGTGAATGAAAGAATAGTATTTTTTGAACCATTTCAATCATTTATAATCAAAATGCTCACGATTTCATTCATTGCAGATGCCTATGGCGAAACCTGACAGTTGGGGCGCCCGCTACCACGAGGCCTTCAGTAATCCGGAACTGGCGCACGGTCTCGACACCAATTATTCGGCACCTCACTACCCGAACGTCCCAGGTGAGCAGAGACACGGGAACAGTCCAGTGTGTGTGTGTGCTTTTTCTTATTTTTCTTCTTTTCTATCTCTCTCTCTCTCTCTGCTCTCTCATTCTCCCCTTCCCTTCTCTCTTTCTTTCTTTCTTTCTTTCTTTTCTTTCTTTTCTTTCTCTTCCTTCTTCTCTTCTCTTCTCTTCTCTTCTCTTCTCTTCTGCTTCTCTTCTCTTCTCTTCTTTCTCTCTCTTCTCTTCTCTTTTTCTCTTCTTTCTCTCTCTCTCTCTCTCTCTCTCTCTCTCTCTCTCTCTCTCTCTCTCTCTCTCTCTCTCTCTCTCTCTCTCTCTCTTCTCTCTCCAATATTTATTATCTGACACTTTTTCTTTACACACACAAATGTGTACATGTGTATCCGTTTATACGTGTTATTTATTTATGTATATATTTATTTATTGTTTGTCATTACACGCCATTACTGATAGTAAAATACCCTTTCCCTCCTTCAGGACTCGAGACAGGCGTGCCCCAGGAAGGCGCCAAGGATCTCTACTGGTTCTAGACGCAGACGAAGCATCCTCCGCACCTTCTGCGACCTCGGTACCTGACGAGGAAGGTCAAAAAAGGTCGCCGACGCTGACCCCGAAGTCGTCAGGAGAGGAGGAAGGAGGAGCCTGCAGTGTATTATCTTTGTGCCAAGTGAGAGAGACGAGCGACCTCGCGAGACAGTGTGTTTTGCTTCGAGAAAATACAGTTCGAGTCTCGCAGGCTATCGACTCTTGGTTATGGAGTGCCCGTCATATCCTCTGATCGATAGGATTTTGGAAGATGATAATGATACTTGAGATATCGCTGATCGTATGTTGACGAACGAACTCTGTGGACAATGTGCTTATGCAGAGAGTGTAATTAACGTCAATATACACTAGGTGACCGCGTGTGCAAAGCGGTGTCGAAACGGAGACACAATCACACAACGAAGGTGCTAATATGGTGTCAAAAAATACAAAAATATCACGACAAGTAGACTATATATTTTTGTTGATCACACACACAAAAAAAGAAGAGAAATGTACAAACTGGAGTTTTTATTTCACATTGCTAATGCTTTAATCTATTTTGTTTAGGTTAACTGTACAGTCTGTTCTCTCGGCTGCACAGTGTCCATAGGAGTACTTTTTAGTTATGCTGTGCAGTCTGTTCTCAGTTGCAGTATCTATAGTTGTACATTTAGTTGTGCTGTTTTGCTAATTTCAAGTCATGAGGAGGAGATTCCCACACGCAGAAATTGCTGAGTTTCCACACTGCATACCAAGGGATTTTTTTTTATTCCTTATTTTTGTTTTTCTCGCTTGAGCTCTCTCTCTTTTTTCTCTTCCTGTCTTGCCTTCTCTTATTCTTTGGTCCTTCATCTTTTTTTTTTTTTTATACTTTATTGTTATTTAGTCGGTTTTGTTTTATGATTAGGGTAAGCTATCAGGTGATTTAATAAAAGAATAAGATTGAAAGACTATAATAACGAATAGATATCACACACACACACACACACACACACACACAAACACACACACACACACACACACACACACACACACACACACACACACACACACACACACACACACACACAATTAAATATACGATGAAAATACAAACACACACAAAAATAAAGACCCAAGTAAAACACACAAATCTAATAAAAATGAAAGATAAGATTCAATCCCTTTCTGCCTTATTAAACAACACGGGGAATCTCCTTCCATGGCTCTTTAATTAATCTTCAACACTTTTAATTTAATTATGTAGTAGTTTATGCAACCAAGGACTATTGACATATCATTTACTAATTCTGCGGGAAACAAGAGAAACTGAAATGTTTGTATGTACATATGTAGGCTGTTATCATATATCTGGGAATTCTTCTTGTAAACTAATATTTATTGACATTTTAACACTTCACTCTTTTTAAGTTATTTATTATGTTATTTTAAGGTACGTGAATTCCTAGGGTATATGAATATCTGTAATGATGGCTGTATAAAGTGTTTTTTTTTTTTTTTTCTTTCATCGGAATATCTATGCAGGAATGATATTCGTTATATATACTTCACACACAGAAAAGAAAATAATGTATGTTGACGAGAAACCAAATAAAGACCTGTTTTTTTTAGGGGGAGGGGGGTCGAAGGGGGGGGGGTTACAATGTACTTCCCCCCCCCCCCACCCCTCCCCCTCTGATCGCACTCCCAAAGCGGTTAAATTTTCCCAGTGTGTGGCTGCGATACTTCATTCATCGCTTCTTTTCTTAGCATTCGTTTTTGTGTGATAAAAAATAGCGTATTTGTGGGTAAAGTTCACAGCAAAAGAACAGGTCAGCGGGTCCTGTCTGTTCAAAGTTCAAAGGCACTATGTTCATTGTGAACAGATTGAGAATGTACCCCTTTTTTTAATGATTCGCGTTTTTGGTTGTAATTGCTCTATCTTTGACTTTTCCAAATTGTTTTTTTTTTTATCCATTAACTACAATTAATGCATATAGACAGATTTTAATAAATTAGTTTTATTCATTGTCAAAATAGTGACACTAATTGGATTCAAATGATACAAAATGCTGCCGAGATTTTTGAAGTTGAAAAAGCTTTATTGTTGACAACTTTTCTTTCATTTATCAATACTAAGAGAAGCCCTGTATGAAGTACGTGGTTACTGATGACATCACACTGGCGGGTATGATAAATACTTATGGGTCTTGACTGAAGACATCACATTGATGGTTCTTAGGTCATTGCTAGCGTTGCAGAAGTGGATCTGTGCAGAGTGAGGGTACGGTGTTTAAGCGTTCTGATGACGTCACGATTGTTGCATGTCCGTCTCAGGTTGTGGGAAAGAAGGATGTATGTGTTGTTTGATCCGAAGAAAAATTTGTAAATAAATGGTGTTTATTACACATTGGGATGTTTTTCTTGGCATTAAACCTTTATTCAGTGCAGGTATTTTGTAAATGTAACTTACACACAAACAGATATACATAGATAGCTTTAAAGTTTTGATTTAATTGTGCTTAGGTTATTCCATTAAATTATATGTAAAAAGGTTATCACATCTACTGGTTGAACCCATGATGAATCAATATAAATGCAGAAATACAAAATATTATCTCATCTCTCACATTCACTCACTATCTACTCTCCCTCTCTCTCTCTCTCTCTCTCTTCTCTATATATATATATATATATATATATATATATATATATATATATATATATATATATGTATATATATATATAATATATATATATATATATATGTATATATATATATATGTGTGTGTGTGTGTGTGTGTGTGTGTGTGTGTGTGTGTGTGTGTGTGTGTGTGTGTGTGTGTGTGTGTGTGTGTGTAGAAAAACAACCAGAAAGAACTCGATCCCAACCAATGGAAATAAAATTAAGAGAACAGACACAACCATATAAACTTGCTTACATTGTGCGACTTATCCAAGGCCTTTGATAGTGCCAATTACGGTCTTCATTAGAAAACTAATAAATCACAAAATTGATACATATTGGTTCAGAACCCAATCAGTCCAAATTCGCGAGAATATATCAGCAAAACAGATAGTATCCGTTGGTGTTCCACGAGGATCTATATTGGGCCTAATCCTGTTCTCAATATTCGTAAATGATCTGTCAATCATAGCCCAAAATTGCCTTCTTGTTCAATACGTCGATGATTCACAATTTCTCCAAAGTGATTCCGTAAACAACTTAGATGAACTGATAAAAAAGACCCAGGAGACACTTTCACAAGTAAAAGGATGCTTTGCCTCAGGATAAATTCAGATAAAACACAAGTTATCTTCATAGGTAGTCGCCAAAACATCGCCAAAATTCCTGTAAACACGACCATAAGAGACAGCTATATAAGACCAAGCACTTCAGTAAAAAAAGACTAGGCGTACTCACTGACAGATTCATGACATTTGAGAACCACGTCGACAACATCCACAGAAAAGTAACGGGCACACTAATTTACCTAAGCCATATCAAAAATAGAATTCTTATTGAAACTAGAATATCTGTTATAGAAACGCTAGTTCTCAGTATAATTAAGTATTTCTCAAACGTATTGGGTACAACAAACAAAGATCAAATTCAGAAAAAATACAAAACTCTGCTGCCAGAGTAGCAATTGGTAATGTAAAGAAGTATGACCACATTACCCAACACATAAACAAATTTGGCTAAAAGTAATATACAAATGCAGCTATGATACTTGCTTACTAATTCATAAAATGATCCAAGATTCTTTATCCAAAATGGCTTTTAACCCTTCCAATTGTAGCTAAAACAACCTGTGTCCAAACAAGACAAAATTCCCTATATGTCACAAGATCACGTACAGACATAGGGGCACGACAGACACTAACACGTGGACCCATGATCTGGAACCAACTACCTTGTCATGTAAGAAACATTTAGAACTCAAATACATTCAAAAGAAATTACTGGAACATCTCTTAAATTACCAATGACATTAGGTTTCAAGATATAAGAAGAGACAAGATAAATATGTACTGCCATTGATTCTATGTAGATCCTATATTTATATGAAGTATTATATCACTAAGTATATAGTGAGAATAATCATTGTAACTCTCTCTCTCTCTCCCTCTCCCTCTCCCTCTCCTCTCTCCCTCTCTTCCTCTCTCTCCCTCTATCTATCTCTCTATTTCTATCTCTTTCTCTTTCTCTCCTCTCCTCTCTTCCTCTCTCTCTATCTTTCTATCTCTATCTCTTTCTCTCTCTCCCTCTCCCTCCTTCTCTCCCTCCCTCTCTCTCTATTTATCTATCTATCTATCTCTGTCTCTATCTCCCTCTCTCTCCCTCCTCCTCCCTCTCTTC